TAATTTGTGAAATTCATTAAAATGTAGTTTATTTTGTCTTCCTGATCAAATCCAGCACTGATTCCTGTAGTGGCCCCGTAGATATCTTCCCCAACTCAATACACTGCTGTTTATCATTAACTTTTCTTTTATAGCCCTTCAACCAGTTTTCATTTGACAGGAAATTATTCCTACCCAAGTCCTATTTGAATTAATGATTTAATGTTATGAGCAAAACTTCACAAGATCAGATCCAGATCCTCAGCTGGTGTAAATCAGCCAAATCACCAATTTAAGCCAGCTGAGCCTCGGTCCTGCATCTACTGCTTTGATGAAATCCAAATATATTAAAACTACTGCTTTGTCTAGATTGTGGGTTTGTTTTTTGTTTTTTTTTACTACAAAATTATCAATCAGGTTTATCTGGCAAGATTTCCCTTTTATAAACCTATAGAAAATGTACTTAAATTGCAAATAATAAAAAATAAAAAAATAAAAAAAGAATTAGACTACTATCTTTCTAAGAGCTTAGTTGGGTTATTCCCTCCCCACCCCCTTCTTACAAACGGGAGTTTTTAAAGACGTCTCTCTAAACTTTGCTTATATTCAGGAAGACTCAGTGAACTGGGAATTTATCCCTAAACTCATCTACACATGATTTCTATAAATCAATAGAAGTACCTGGTTTAAAAAATTAAATTTCATGTATTTATTTGAAACTGTAACGGTCCATTTGCTTGCTTGTTTGCTTTATTTATTTAAAAAGAGAAACATTCTCTAAAAATGTTACAATGAGCAAAACATTCTAAATCCTTGCTATCATTTTTATAACTATTCTGCAGTGATTACCTTTGGTGACCTTGTTAATTATACATTTATTTCTATTATTTATTAATACTTCAGCACCCCTGTAAGCACATTGAGTCCTTTCCAGTACAAGGATATCCGATAAATTATATGGGGATGATAAATCCTACTGGAGTGATAGGGCGATACTTGTGATTGAAGTCTGCCATAAGAAGCAATCTGTCTGCTAGGAGAATAATACAGATATTTCATGAGAAGAAGCGTGCAAGTAAACCAGTGATGTGACACACATCCATAACACTGCAAGCACTGCATTTTTTTCATGGCTAGAAGAATGACTGTTGATACTTCATATGTGTACCTCCACTTCCAGTTTTTGACTCGTAATGCATACGGAGTAGTTTTGTCAATCTTTACCAAAGCCATTAGCAATCTAGAATATATTTTCTCATCTATTCTTCTGCTTTTTAACTCAGTAAATTATTAATCCCCAGAAGTATTGGTACCCTAACTAGGAAGAATAAAAACAATGGATTAACCATGTTCCTGGGTTTGAAACAGATTTTGGATTACCAAAAGCTGTTGAGTTTAAAAAACAATAACAGAAGTTTTCTATATATTTAAGTAATAGATTTTCAAAAACGTTGGAATCAAATCTTCAAAATTAGCAAATGACCTGCAAAGTTAAATAACCCATTGGTGGAATTTATGTTGAAAATTTGCATGACTCTCTTTAAAAAATGAAATAAAATACCAAAGCAAAATTGCTCATTTTGAAAAATTATAATATCTAGTTAAAGATAAAAGGAAATAATCCCATTAGTAATCTGAATCTTTTTTTCAAAAACCACAATGGCACTGAGCCAATTTCAGTCAATGCAAATCCTAAAAGAAAGGAACATAGGCACGTTTTATGCTAAAATCACCTGTATGAACTTCAACTGTGATGTATTTCAGAGTAACAGCCATGTTAGTCTGTATTCGCAAAAAGAAAAGGAGTACTTGTGGCACCTTAGAGACTAACCAATTTATTTGAGCATAAGCTTTCGTGAGCTACAGCTCACGTCATCAGATGCATACATGCTCAAATAAATTGGTTAGTCTCTAAGGTGCCACAAGTACTCCTTTTCTAACTGTGATGTAGTTACTAGCAATGAATTGTGATGTTCCATTTAGTCTTAGCTTACTCCCTTCACTCTTGATATCAACAAGCCTAGTGATAATAACTTGAATTGCATACTATAGTTGAGATTAATTTTTTGTCAGGCAACTGTTTGCTTGGCTCTCCTCTGACATGTGCAGAGAACTCTATAATATAACCTTTTGGGTTTTTAGACATCTTTAATTAAGTGGGGATAAATAGCGTAAATCACTAGTTTAACAAAACAGCTAAAGCCCAAAGGATGTCCAGCTGTGGCTGGGTCAGGAGGAATCACAATGGAAAGCAGGTTTCAGAGTAGCAGTCGTGTTAGTCTGTATTCGCAAAAAGAAAAGGAGTACTGGTGGCACCTTAGAGACTAACAAATTTATTTGAGCATAAGCTTTGAAGTGAGCTGTAGCTCACGAAAGCTTATGCTCAAATGGAAAGCAGAGAAACTTTGGGGAGAGTGGGCCTTTGTGTAATGTATAATTTATTATGATTCTGGGCTTTACAAGCCTTGCTGCCTTGTCTACTTACTGTACTGGTGGTAGCGACCAAGGGAGCTCCAGTGTAGCCAGACCACTCAGGTTTTAACTTCCATGTCAGCTAGACCTGCTCTGAGCAGATTTGAGCAAACATTGTTTTTTCCTATGTTTCTAATAGAGTCTGAAGTGAACAGAGTAACTTTTAACACAACCAAACTCTCTTCCCCACTCTCTGTAAGTGTTCTGCATGTGTGTGGTTAGTGCTGGTAAAAGGTGTCAAACTGATAGCCTTGGGGCCTGAAGCTCTATGTTCATTCACAGAATATTGTCTCAACCCTGCCTAGGAGAAACCACATGCTAGGGACCAGGATTTGCTCCATACTGCATGGCCCTTGGTCTCTTTGCTGAAATTGTGGGTTTTAAACCGGCAAGCTAGATGTGAAAAGCTAGATGCCCTGACCATCCAGACCCTAGATATTAATGTAGCTTTAGAAAGAAAAAGGCTGTTTATTTCTCTGTTTCCAGCTTCAGCAATGATCTTTGCCCAACACCAAGAATACTGTCAGTGCTGCAGATCTGAGAGAAGGAGCCCACCATATTTGTTTGTGTGGTTCATTCATGGAGGTGGGCTGCTGGGTTTTAGAAAAAATTCAAAGGCGTAGGCCATGTATGCCTTGTCAGGAGAATTTTGGGCTCTAACCACACTGCTCAATGAACTTGAACTTCTCTTGGCAGTCTGGGGATGAGCTCTCAGGGCCAGCAACACAAAGCGATGTCTGTTTAAAGTTAACACGGTAAATCTTTGGTTTGCTTCAGTCAGCAGCCATTTAGTTATAGTACAGCAGCCTCATACTTATACAGAAAGTTGTTTGCTTCATAAATGGAGTGATGGATTCTATATGAATGATGGATTGAATGTAATTTTTCTATGTGTGATAACTACCGTTAAAATGGATATTTGGTGCACTATAGGATTTACCTTTACTACGTTATTCCTTATAATTTGGGCCCTACCAAATTCATGGCCATGAAAAACGCATCATGGACCGTGAAATCTGATCTCTTGTGTGCCTTTACGCTGTCCTATACAGATTTCACGGCTGAGGCCATTGTTTCTCAAATTAGGGTCCAGACCCAAAAGGGAGTTGCGGGGGGGTCACCAGGTTATTTTAGGGGGTCGCAGTATTACCACCCTTACTTCTGTGCTGACTTCAGAGCTGGGTGGCTGGGGATCGCTGGCTGTTGGCCAGGCACCCACCTCTGAAGGCAGCACCCCGCCAGCAGCAGCAAGGAAGTAAGGGTGGCAATATCATAACATGCCACCCTTTCTTCTACGCTGGTGCCTTCAGAGCTGGGCAGCCGCTGACTGAGGGCCAAGCTCTGCAAGCAGCAGTGCAGAAGTAAGGGTGGCAATACCATAACATATTATCCTTAGATCTGCGCTGCTGTTGGCAACGGCTCTGCTTTCAGACCTGGGCTCCTCGCCTGTAGCCACCGCTCTCCAGCTGCCCTTCTCTGAAGTGCAAAGTTAAGTATAGCATTACTGTAACCCCCCTATAATAACCTTGCAACCCCCCACCCCACAAATCCAGGACCCCTACAGTTACCCCACCGTGAAATTTCAGATTAAAATAGCTGAAATCATGAAATTTACGATTTTTAAAATACTATGACCATGAAATTGACCAAAATGGACCATGAATTTGGTAAGGCTCTATTTATAAATATTGCAAAAACTGTGGGTGGTAAGTGTCTAGTTTTGTATGGTACCAAGAGTGTTTATGTACATGTGCGTGTGTGTCTTCCAATATGGAAGACTGAGAGAACATTCCCCACTGGATCTTAACTATTTGGAAAAAAAAAAAAAAAGTAAAATTTAAGGCCTGATGTGCTTGGCAATGATTTTAGCGGTGTTCAATTATTGGGAATTAATTTCAAAATGACACATTTGTTACTTAATAACAGAATACACAATACAAAACAATCCTAAATCCTAGATGTAGAATCACTGAATCAATGGAAATCAATAATTCAGAGACATCCTGAAGCCCTGTGAATTTGAGTGCAGGGTTGGGACCTCAGTTTATAAAGAATACAGTGCATGAAAATGTCAAATGGACAATTAAATAAAAGCAGTGAAGGATTAAAATGACTTTTTAATTTTTTGAATTTTTATCCTGAGATACATGATTTGAGGTGTACATATGTACAAATCCTTGCAGTAGTAATCAAACACATTGTGTGAGAGGTCAGATTTCCACTAAGGGTGGTAATTTTAACATTTGAACAACTACTTCTTAAAACTGCAGGCAGGGATTAGTGATCACATCTTTCCTCTTCTTACTTTTTTATTTGGGGAGAGATTATTTGAAAAAATAATTTCCATTGCATATAATAATTAGATCCATCTGGATAAGATTCCAAGCATGATAAGGTGGAATATCTGAGCGCCATACATTTTAAAAAGATATTCAATAGGGAACCCCAACCTCCAAAAATACAGAGAAGAGAGTTGCCTTAATTTTCAGATTAACCACATTCCCATCTATTAAGGTGGCTTTCTTTTGCTTTTATGGCTGCATGCTTACCTCTGGGGTCAGTGCATTGTTATCTGAAGTCTGGCTGGAGAGCAGAATGTGTGTGAAACCATCTTCTTTCCGGACCACAATGTCTCTGAACCGACAGTTACTTTCATTTTGACGTACGCTGTACCTTAGTCTCTTATCAAAGACATAATCTTTCTCCCCATCCAGTTTCCTTTTCACAGTGCTGTGCAGATTCAGGCCTCCGTTGGCCAGAGAGGAACCTTTCAAATGCAAACAACCAAAATGGATACATGTGATCATGTCTATACCTCCAAAGAAAACAGCGTAGTGTATTATTACCTTGAATTTCTCTGGATGTCTAGATCATCCTGTTCCAAGGGTGGGCAAAAATGTGTCCAGCAACCAAATATGACCCACGAATTCTAGCGTGTCCCCTGACCGCTCATTTTTACTGCAGCGGTTCCGCCTGCGTATCCCAGCATGAAATGCTCTATCATGATCTGAGTAGAAGACCACTCAGATCAAGATCAATCATTGCATTTTGGGACTAGTAGTCTCAACAGATGTGCCTGTAGTGGAAAATGAGAGCAGCTGTACCCTGCTCTTTTATGTGAATTTGGGGTGACCCTCAAGTTCATCGGAAAATTCTAATTCAGTTTTCTTTGGCAAAGCTGGGCATGATTGACTTAGTCCATATCATCTCTTCCTAAGCTACATGTTGTTCCTTGTCTACAGAACTAAAGCCATTATCAACTCCATTTGGCAATTTTAATGTAGGAACAGGATCCTCAATTGTACGTCTCTACAGGGACTCAGAGCAAGACAGAGCAGTTCCTATCAAACATTTACAGCTAAGCTGACTCCACTATCTCACTCCTCTTCCTTATAATTCCAGCGGTCACCATTAAAGGTAGTATTTTACCCATTGGTATCCCACTGTGGTATCTGAGATTATGCTCAAAATAGGATACAACTTGATACGAGGTGCTCCATTGGAGAGGCTGCAAGGAAAGGCAAACATATTTACCAAGTATATACACAAGAGAAGTGCCAAAAAGAGGATAGCCATTTAGAAATTTGGTCACCCTTTTTAGCATACTCCGCGGATGAGGGCTCTCCAGCTAGGAAGCCAGAATCTTTAGCCAGGTTCTTTGAATATTTATCTGATCCTTACTTCATTATATATTACTTATTATGTTAATGTCTTATTGTAACTTTACATAAAGGTCCCATCCCCACAAAAGGGGGACTAGTACACAACTGTGGTGTCTCATATACCACTGTGTAGTAACAGTAGATAAACACTGACTTTTTAATTACCTGTACTTTTAACATTAAACTGTGCAAAAAACACCAAAACGTATTTCTGCCGGTGCCATTTTGCAGAACACATATTGATGGGAAAACACCAAATCAATGACAAGGAATACATGCTTACTCTTCAAAAACAAAACAACCACAACAAAACGGCATCTTACTGAGAAACATTCAGTTTATCCTGAGTTCTGCTTGCAGCAAATTGTAACTCCTGCTTTGTTTATATTTATAATTTCTATGGGATATTCAGGAAATATGTTGTCATTAGTAACAATACACAAGTAGCCCAAAGGCTCTGTTATGGAGTCATAAAAATATGCTAAATACATGCTTTCTGTAAGTCATCTCCTTTTTGCAGTTAGAGATATTTTAAATGTCATTACCATTTGGGTAAATAAAATAATTAGAAAAAAGAAAAGGAGTACTTGTGGCACCTTAGAGACTAACCAATTTATCTGAGCATGAGCTTTCGTGAGCTACAGCTCACTTCATCGGATGCATACCCTGGAAACTGCAGAAGACATTATATACACACAGAGACCATGAAACAATACCTCCTCCCACCCCACTGTCCTGCTGGTAATAGCTTATCTAAAGTGATCAACAAGTCGGGCCATTTCCAGCACAAATCCAGGTTTTCTCACCCTCCGCCCCCCCCACAAACTCACTCTCCTGCTGGTAATAGCCCATCCAAAGTGACCACTCTCTTCACAATGTGTATGATAATCAAGGTGGGCCATTTCCTGCACAAATCCAGGTTCTCTCACTCCCTCACCCCCCTCCAAAAACCACACACACAAACTCACTCTCCTGCTGGTAATAGCTTATCCAAAATGACCACTCTCCCTACAATGTGCATGATAATCAAGGTGGGCCATTTGTGCTGGAAATGGCCCACCTTGATTACCATGCACATTGTAGGGAGAGTGGTCACTTTGGATAAGCTATTACCAGCAGGAGAGTGAGTTTGTGTGTGGGGGGGGCGGAGGGTGAGAAAACCTGGATTTGTGCTGGAAATGGCCCAACTTGATGATCACTTTAGATAAGCTATTACCAGCAGGACAGTGGGGTGGGAGGAGGTATTGTTTCATGGTCTCTGTGTGTATATAATGTCTTCTGCAGTTTCCACGGTATGCATCCGAAGAAGTGAGCTGTAGCTCACGAAAGCTGATGCTCAAATAAATTGGTTAGTCTCTAAGGTGCCACAAGTACTCCTTTTCTTTTCGCGAATACAGACTAACACGGCTGTTACTCTGAAACCTGTCAAAATAATTAGATAAATTCATGGAGGCTAGGTCCATCAATGGCTATTAGTTATGATGGTCATAGATGTAACCCCACGCTCGGAGTGTCCCTAAACCTCTGACTGCTAGAAATTGAGACTGGATGACGGGGTAGATGACTTGATACATTTCCCTGTTCTGTTCACTCCCTCTGAAGCACCTGGCACTGGCCACTGTCGGAAGACAGGGTACTGGGCTAGATGGACCATTGGCCATACTGGGTCAGACCATTCTTATGTTCTTATATAGACTGTGCAAAAGCAGAAGTTAAAGTTGCTCAATTTACTTGATATAATGACCATTAAAAAAAAAAAAAAAAAGGAAGAGAGATGGGCCCAAAATACTCCAAACATACAGGAAGGAAAAAAGAGTAGTGCAGTCTGTGTCCAAATCTGAATCTATATTTAATTGTTTGTTCTTACCTCTAGAGCAGAGTGAACCAACCTCCTGGTTTTGGTATTAAAAAGCTAAGAATGTTTTTTTGTTTGTTTTGTTTTTTAGAGGAGGAGGGATGAAAATTAGGACATGGATTTAAATTTTGTAGTTTAGATCATCTTTGTCCAACTAAAAACGCATTGTTACAATGACTGTAATGATGAATTTATAGTGAATGATTCCCTAATAGAGGAGCCAGCCACCTTCCTTCGATAGACTTAATATTTCCATTACTTGATATCTGAGTAGCTAATTCAACTACATGACTAGCTGTCACTAAACCCTGGAGTCTGCAAATGTTCACATCCTGTAAAATATCCGTTTATACCCTGCAATTATTATATTTAGTACTAAACTACATTAAAGTCTAATAGTATTCTCTCTTTTTACAGTTAAATTATAAACACTCTCCAGTAGAGCTCTAGCAGATATATTCAATTAAATAATGGTTTATTAATTGAAACATTAAATTTAAATTAGTTCCTTAGTTTAGAAAGAATATTTGAAGCATTTAGGGGTTGGATTTTTTTGGACAAGAATTAGTTTTAATTGTAAAAATCCCAAACCAACAACACATGTCATTTAATGCTTGAAATTTTACAAATTACAACTTGTACATTTTTGGCTTCTTCCTTGTTTATAGTGATTCATTACTAGAGCACAATGACTTATCTGGTAGTTTATTCCTTTTTTTTTTTTTGTCCATGAATTATTTGGAAACTGCAGTCTCAATCTTGCAAACACATATGTGCTTAACTTTAAACTCAGGAGGAGTTCCATGGAAGTCAGTGGGAGTATTAATGTGCTTAATGATAAGCAGTGTAGAAGTGTCTGCAGCACTGGAGACTGACTGACTTTTACAGATTTTTTCGGCATTCAGAATTGTTCTGCAAATACTTTCTGAAAGCATTTCAGCCTGTCATTGTTTGAAACCAACTTCCTTTATCTAGGTGGTCTTCTATTTTCTGTTCACTAACAGTATATGTCATCTAGGATGCATGGTAGTGTTTCTTGTGCCAGACTGGAGCTTTTTTACAAACAATAGATGGGAAATAGGGTTGCCAGGTGTCCAGTTTTCGATTGGAATACCTGATCGAAAAGGGACCCTGGTGGCTCTGGTCAACACCGACTGAGCCGTTAAAAGTCCGGTCAGCGGTGCAGAGGGGCTAAAGCAGGCTCTTTGGCTGTCGTGGCTGCCGGAAGCAGTGGCATGTCCCCCCTCTGGCTCCTATGAGTAGGGGCAGCAAGGGGGCTCCGCAAGCTGCCCCCACCACAAGCACCGGTTCTGCAGCTCCCATTGGCCGGGAACCACGGCCAATGGGAGCTGCGGGGGCTGCGCCTGCGGACAGGGCAGCGCTCAGCCACCTGGCTGGGCATCTGTGTAGGAGCCGGAGTAGGGACATGCTGCTGCTTCTGGGAGCTGCTTGCGGTAAGCGCCGCCCGGAGCCTGCACCGCTGACCCCCTCCCACCCTCCAAACCCCTCAGCCCCAGCCCAGAACCCCCTCCTGTACCGCAAATCCATCAGCCCCAGCTCAGAGCCCTGTACCCCGACACCCTGCCAGAGCCCCCTCCTGCACCTTGAACCCCTCATTTCTGGTCCCACTCTGGAACCCACACCTCCAGCCCAGAACCCATAGCCCCTCCCAAACACCTGCCTCAGCCCGGAGACCCTCCCATACTCCGAACCCCTCAGCTCCCCGCCCCCAGCTTGAAGCCCCCACCTGCACCCCAAATCCCTCATTCCTGGCCCCCCCAAGAGCCCACATCCCCAGCCAGGGCCCTCACCCCTCCGACACCCCAACCCTCTGAGCCAGCCCAATGAAAATGAGTGAGTGAGGGTGAGGAGAGTGAGTGATATGGGGGGATGGAGTGAGCAGGGGCAGGGCCTTGGAAAAGGAGCAGGGCAGGGGGCAGGGCAAGGGTGTTTGGTTTTGTGTGAGTAAAAAGTTGGCAACCCTAATGGGAAAGCAAAGAAATTTCAAGATGGCTACTTGAATAGTTGACTTTGTTAGGAAAGAAGTCAGACATGACAATCATAGTTGTTCCTTCTGACCTCTAAATCTACGAACAACTTCTGGTATGTATCTTTAAGCAAACATATACTTAGACAGGTATTCATCAATTTCATTTTTCACAAACATTCTTATAAATAAAATTTCTTGTATAAATGTTCATGTGAAATGAACAATTGGGGTTGTGAATAATTCATCTTTTTGGACCAAAG